TAAGAATTAAAAAGTTGAAAAAATCTGTGTAATTGTATTCAACCCCCCCTTCTACAATTACTTTCTGCTTATTGCCTTGCCCTTCGGGACTAACAATGAATTTGGGATGGATGCATTTGTTAGCATCAAATTGATCCTAATAATTATCTCAAAAAGTTTTATTAAGCAATCGGGGCTAAGGATGGAACATCTGAAGATGCTGTTGTGCCAAAACGTCTAAGTCTGGAAGAAACCAGCTGATGTGCTAAATCGACCAAGTATAAACGACCAGAGCCTTTGTAAGAAGAACCAGAGCCTCTGTAAGAGACACTAGAGCCTCTGTAAGCAGGACCAGAGCCTCTGGTTGTATTGACCAGAGCCTCTGGATGTGAAGAGGACCAGAGCCTCTGGTTGTATTGACCAGAGCCTCTCGAGGACCAGAGCCTCTCTGGTCGGTCTATCCTCTGGTCCTTCAAGACGACTATCTTCATAATTCTATTTTGGATAAGGCTAATCCTATTCTGGATAATGCTTATCTTATTCAGATTATCATGAATTACTGCCTATAAAAGTAGTGTTTCATTGTAAACACATAGATTCAGATACATCTTATGAGAGTCGATTAGGGTTCTTGAGAGTTTGTAATTTCCAATTCAATAAAGAAAGCGCCGTCGATTTCTATTTCATCTTCTTCTACAAATTTCTCTTGAATTTCCTTATTAAACTGTTCTATTGTCAGATCTGGGTTTTAACAGCATTGAGTTGTGAAATTTGGGTTTTTGATCACATTTATATTTATCACATCCTTGTGATGTGATGACCTTCAGTTATCGCATCTATGTGATGCGAGGACTTGGATTATCGCATCTTATTGATGTGATGAAGTAAACTTGTTATTGTTTTAAGGACCAGGGGGCTCTGGTAGACCAGAGGGCCTCTGGTTGGTCTGGCTTCTGGTTGTTCATTTGAAGCTTGGAAAAATATTCAAATCTATGGTAAAGGAACTAGAGGGGCTCTGGTTGATCTTAATGTTTAACCAGAGGGTCTCTGGATGTATTTGAAACCCAAACCTTTAAGTATTAAACATTTTTCTTAATCCAGAGGCTCTGGATAGGCGAACCAAAGGCTTTGGTTCGCCAGAGGGGCTCTAGTTGGTAAAGACCAAAGGAGCTTTGGTTGACCCTTGCTTTTGAGTTGGCCTTGCTTTTAGTTGATAAGTCCAGAGGGGCTCTGGTCCTTAAGGACTAGAGGAGCTCTAGTTGGCCTTGCTTTTGATTGGTGAGTCCAGAGGGGCTCTAGTTGGTCTTGCCTCTGGGCTTCGATGTGATGATGTGTGTTGTGATCGCACCAGCATGTTGCAATGAGATGGGTTCTTGCACCAGCGTGTTGCAACAAGGAAAAGGGGTTGTCTCACCCAAGGTATTATGAGGAAATTATGGTTTGTTTTATATGAAGCACTGAGTTCATGTGTTATGTGATAAATGAGTATTTTGTTGTTTGATGTGGCAAAAAAGGGTTATTTTCTCAAAACATTATATATTTGTTATTTATTACAAATATGAGTTTTATAAAAGGGCTTTGGTGATATTCACCTTGTAATTGCATAAAAATGATTTCTCACTAGACCTCAAGGTCTAACCCTTATTTTGGTGTTTTAAAATGTGCATTTCAGGTTAGGCAACCGGTTGATAAGGGGAAAGGGAAATTTATGAAGAAATATATGATTGTCTACATATGAATTTTGGGATAATGTGTTGTTACTTGTATCTGCATGTTGTTTATGATTACAAGTTTTGTATATAGATTTTGTGGAAAATTGTGATAGCTACTTTTATAATGTAGTTTTTGTATATATATTCGGGACCAAATGTGTATTTGTATTTCTTGATATATAAATACATGATTATATGTAAATGTGGATCCTAGAGTGTTACATATTATTAAACCAAAAACAAATTACTGTCATTAAGCCTAAATCAAATTATAATAAAAAAATTGATTTAAGGAAATTACATAAAAAACGATAACTTTTATATATTATTTAATTTTTGTAATATCTTCAAATATATATTTTATTAAGAAAAACATTATTGTTTGCTCAAAAACCATATAAATTCATATTATAACATCGACAGAGACCAAAAAAATAGAATGAAACATTAAAATCTAGATATATGTTGCATTGCATGAGTTCACTTCTAGCATGTATATATATATATATATATGTATATATATATATATATATATATAATATAATATCTATATATGTATATTAATTTCATATGATTTTATTATTCTATGTCAGTTTCGAATTCTAGAATTAGATTTAATGTAGGGAAATCACTAAAATGAGCATATTCTATAATTAAATTGACTTTTTAATAATTTTTCTTCAAACTTTATCTAAAAGTCACTAGGTCTGTAATACCCAAGTCCGCAATTATTGCAGGCCCACTAAATGACAATATTCTAGAGTTTCTCGGCACAGGTCTGTAACCATAGGTCTGTAATTATTACGAATACGCCCAAAAACTCATTTTCCTTAAATCCATAATGTCATATCCGTAAGTGTCCACCTTTCATAGGAAAATGGGTTTTTAGTCGAATCCGTAATAATTACGGACTGGTGGTTACGGACCT